GCTTAATGTGCCATCATCACATATTGTAAGTGTTCATCCCCGTCGGTTCTTTTAGAATTAACAAACTTTGAAAACATCTGCTTAGTAGTACATATCCCCTTTCCTGCCAAACCATCAGACTGGGTTTAAATAGGTTAATAATAATAAGTCTTCACCATATCCAGTGTTATCCAGCTCTTGGCTACCATATCCATGATGGTCTGTACTAATGTATCTACAAATAGATAAACTTCAACCCACTTTGAGAAATAGTTGATGGCAAAGATTATGTAGCAATAACCTCTGGAAGAAGACCAACAATATTCAGGGCTATTCTCTACAAAAACGATTTAACAATTCTCTGTTGGAATTTACCCTGTTTCAATCAGTTTTCCGCTGAGTGGCACACATCATACAGCATTCTCCCCATAACTGAAGATCTTGACTCACTTGCTTCCAGAAAAACTGTCATCAAATGTCTTCCAGTCTTTGTGAAATGCAAATGCTAGAGTATATCTTATCACAAAGCTCTGGGTACCACTGGATGCAGGACTGTTGGAGCATCAGCATGTTTCATGGGTTGATAGAAACAGTATAGCAAACCTTGCACTTCTAACTGCTTGTACAGGTGTCACAGGTTATATACTTTTGTGCTAGACTCCTCTACTAGTTCTCATCGAAATTGACCTTGCTGGATATCAATGAGTGGCCACACTAGGTCAAAGACCTTCAATTGCTCATCCAAGATCTCCTCAAGCATGAAATTTGGCACCCATCCTTTGATGGATTTGTCTTCTTCATGGTCGGCTTTCACAATGGCTGAAATATTCATGGTTTCAACTCTTATGTAATGTCCAGGGACAGGAGAGTATGTGAAGGTACAAGGTCTCACAAGTGTGTCAAGTAAGTCCATACACAGTTCTGTGTTGCGATTTTCGGTAATGAACTGTGAAGAAGTCATATTCTTGCAAAATTGTTATCAATCATGCTATCACCCCTTCCAGATTTTTAAAGTTTACTAACTACTTCATTGAAGCAGGGCCGACCTGTACAGTGAACTTCCTACCCTATAAGTAACGTCAGTAGTGTTTCACGAAGACAATCACTGCACACAACTCTTTCTTCATCGTACAGTATCAGTGTTTGGGAACCGTGAGCATATTATTGGTATATCCTGCAACTGCAACAATACCACTCCAATCATTTTGTCACTCGCACTGGTGTCCAAAAGAAGCCCACAATCTTGATGGGAATAGGCCGCCAATGGAGCATCCACTTAAACAAGCTTGAAGAATTGGAAAGCCTGGTCACATTCTTTGATTGATCCAATGTGTGCTTACACTTTCGTGAAACCTGAAAATGGTGCTGTTATCTTTGAGAAGATGGCTGCAAATTATTGATAGTGTTATGCAAAAACCAAGAAAAGTGTGGAATACTTGTTTCATCAGGTATCAAAACCAATTTACTCCCATGTCTATCTTAGCCAGTTCCATCAATACTCCATATGTTTCCACAAAAGATGACTAAAAACTCCACTTCTGTTTGCATGAGTGAGTTCCTTTCCTGGTTCAAGTTTCAAATGTGCCTTTTGTATGTGCTGAAATGCCATCTTCAAATTCTCCTATTGCTATCCATCAACTGCTCAAAAGTAGCTGATACATTACATAGACTGAATGGCATGATATAGAATTCATACAGACCATCTATTGTTCTTAGCCATGCTTTTATCATCCAGTTTTACCAGAGAACATATCCAAGGTGTTGAACTTATGAGAGCCTGCCAACACATTCAGATATTCAACTGTCAATGATAAATAGAAGAAATCAATGTGAGTTATTGAGTTCACCCAACTAAAATCTGCCAAAAACCTTAGCATACCCTGCTTCTTCTTGACAATCATTAGTGGAAAGAACCAAGCACTTTTGACTCCATAATGCAGCATCTGCTGTGTTTCAACACTTGTAACCTTCCTAGTGCTCCAGGGAAGCCAATGTGATGGTTGTTTTATCAGAGATGCAATGAATGTGTCTATATGTTGTTTGATCCAATCAGCCCTTTGCTCCCACAAATACATTGGTATATTCATCCAACAAGTCATAGACTTGCTTTTGCGGGGTCGGGTATAGGTTGTTAGCATAATAATCAATCAGTGACCTCAGGCATGTGTTTAATATTGTATTTACTTTTGCCATGGTGCAATGGATGCAACCCCAGTGTTACCGCTAACATCAGTTATCTCCACTTTTCTCACAATGCCTATGACCAATCCAATAATTAGAAAGCAACACTGGAACTTTTGCTTTTCTGGCAAATCACTACCTGAGCTAATGCTGCTTGCTTTTTGGACAGGAATCAGTTTATTCCATGCATAGTATCTAATACTACTTTTCATGGCACTGACAAATTAAACATTGACTGGATTAATTCATGAAACACATCTTTTGTACATGGAAGTATTATTATTATTATTCCCTTTGCTATAAATGCTTGTGCAATCTAATGTTTCTGGGCTTGATCTATGCAGCATTGAATGACTTGCCCATGGAATATTAGCTCATCCATTGCACAGGCAAACTGGTGTACAAACTTCACAATACACTCGTCCTGAAGATGTCTTCTGTCTCTTGTCGTATATTATTATTTACATTGTTTTATTATGTGTAGCAGGTTTCCTATCTCAGATTTGTGCCCGTGTAGCCATTTTGAATGAGAGTTGAAGTTTAGTTAAATTTCTGTTGTATTTTCACCAAAAATAATGCTCCATTCTGACACCAGTATTACAGTGTAGTTCTTTCGTTGGTGGGTTCTTTTATATTAACTGGTGAAAATAATCCAACGTCCAGTCCATGTGACGATAATAAATTACTTTATTTCCTCCTTTAATGTTTTTACAACCTTGAACACTTGTACTGCCGGAAATTTGCTGTAAGCTTACCTTACAAATGAAGTTAACTAACAAATCAACTAACTTCTATATTCTCGATATACTTCTAACATCCCTCTATCTTCTTTGAAAGTCATCTCATCTGGATCATCCAATATTGAATTTCTAATTAAAGAAAATTTATCTATTATAAAGTAACTCACAACTTTAAATAATAACACAACTTCACTACAGTTAAGTCGTTCTGAACACTTGTATAATATTGTTGTACTTTCCTATCATTCGTTTATTTGGTTGTCTTTTAATTTATTTCATCCTTTTATTCTAAAATTTAATTACTTTTTATAAAATGTTTAAACTATATAAATATTTGTACCTAATAATCTACCCTGTTCATAATAGCTTGCTGAAGATGGAATATGTATATTCCGAAACGTCCAAGAATTAAATGTTTATTACTTTACACACACGTGTCAAATGTTTGTTGTTGCTGCCGTCGTTTTGTAGTTCATCATTAAACTTCGATTCTCGTCGAATGAATCTGTAATAATATCAGCGACTGATTTTAACATCTATTAATAGGTCCATTGTTGTTCCTAAACATTGTGTTATGTTATTATAGCCTATTATTCTTACATCAGTTGTGGGAAAAGTTTTGGAAAGTCTGATAAAAGATGCTTTGCAAAGTTATTTAATAAAGTTTAGAATTCTATTGGATAGGAGCATGGTTTCACTAAGGAAAATTCTTGCCTTTGAAACCTTTTGATATTCTTTGAAAAGGTTACTGCTTATGTAGATGAGAATAAGGGTGTAGATTTGGTGTATCTGGGTTTTCAGAAAGCCACTGACAAGGTGTCACAATAAATGTTTTTAAAGATATTATATTTTTAGGCGTGGGAGATAATCTAGCTAATTGGACAGAAGAGTGGCTGGATGAAAGAAAGCAGAGCGTTCAGTCAAACTGGATTAATGTCACAAATGGGGTACCTCAGGGGTTAGTCTTAGAACCTTTGCTCTTTTTGATTTTCATCAATGACAGAGTTGAAAGACTGGTCAATAAATTACTTAAATTTGCTGATGTTATTAAGATCTTGGATGTTTCTAACTACGAAGAGGATGCTGCTGTTTTACAAATGGATTTAGATCATTTAGTGAGTTGGGCAAATAAATGGCAGACGGGTTTTAATTATAATAAATGCAAGATAATACATGTTATCATAATTTGAATTGTAAGTACAATTTGGATAGGAATAGACTTAACAGTGTCATAAAAGAAAGTAATCTTGGTGTAATTGTTGATCAGTCTCTTAAGCCATCCAAGCAGTGTGCTGTTGCTAGTGGTAGGGCAAATAAAATTTTAGGTTGTATCTACAGAAATATTGAATACAAGTCTAAAGAAGTTATAATTTCACTGTATAGGCCACTGGTTAAGCCACAATTGTCCGAATGAACCGTCTTAGGTTCCTTACCTTAGGAAGAACACTGAATTGTTGGAAAGGGTTCAGAGGAGGGTTACTAGAATGGTGCCTAGGATGGAGGAAAGATTAAGATCTATAAAATCTTTTTGTCTTGAAAAAGAAGAATTAGAGGAGATCTGATTGAGGTATTTAAGATTCTGAAGAGCATTGATAGTGTTGATGCATCATCATTTTTTCGTACTTAAAGGAGAGAATAGTAGGACTAGGGGACACAAATATAAATTTTGGCAAAATAGGAGTTATCTTCAGGTAAGATAGTTTTATTTTTCTAACAGGGTGGTTGGCCTTTGGAATGGTTTGCCTTCGGATGTTGTGGAGGCAGTAAATTTAAATGAGTTTATGAGAAAGCTTGTTAGCTATATGAAAGATAAGGGCTGGTTTTAAGGTTATTATTTATTTATATTTAGTTTATTTATTTGATAGTTTTAGTTTAGTTTAAAGGATGGGACAGTCGACATGGACCAACTCTTGTTGTCTCTAAACATTATGTTATGTTAAGTTAAAAATGATATTGATAAGATTTTAACACTACTTGGTTTATATTTTAAAAAATATATTAGCCAAATATTTCACATTAATTTCAAATTAATAAGAATTTTGAACTAGTTTTGTTTTAACATTACAAATACACAATCAACAGGCTTGACACATTACGTAGTTTTTACTGCAGTCGCTAGGATCGCTTTTGTTGTCCGCAAAACTGGTCAATGTGTGCCTGTCTGGACTATGACGAAATCGAGAAACGTGATAATGTAAACTAAGGGTAGTTTGTAAATTGTGTTGTTAATTTTAATCTTAAACCTTTTTCAAAACTAGCCTTGAATAATATCAAAGCAAAGTCAAGACTTAGGATAGAAAGCGTACACTTGTTATTTTTAAATCATGCAAGAGATTAATTTGAACCAAGAATCTTTGTAAACTGTAATGAAAAAATTATAATTGTAATACTAATAATATGTAACAGCAACAGTAGCATTTTAAATACGGTTAGGCTTCGGACTACTGTGGTATTTTTGAGGCAAGAAGGTAATATTAAACTTTTTTTCTGTTAGTATCTGTATTACTACTGTTACTGAATTTGATCTTATTTGCATCCTAACTGACCTAAGTTAAACTTTAAAGTAGGCTTGCTATGTTCTGGTTCGTAGGGGTTTGCAATAAACCTTGCTTAAGCTATCACTATTATTATTATTAGTATTGATTATTAAACACTGTCTGAAGATGCATTTATAATTTAGTGATTTAGACAGTTACTGAGTTAGTATTATATCCAAAGAATGTTTGAACTTTGGTACTTAAAAAGAAAAGCTGAAATATAATTTTGTTTTTATATATTTTTTATTTGTATAGGTTTACTGTAAAACTAATTTTAAAAAAGTGTGGAAATGACAGCTCAGATGATGCAGTTTGTCACTGGCCTAAGGAGCCGAAATGAAGAAACGCGTCAGAAAGCAGCACGGGAGCTCCAACACCATGTCACTACAGAGTTAATGGAAATGTGTGTAGAAGATGTACAGGGTTTTATGGATTTCTTCAATCATCACATTTTTGAAATGGTTTCAAGCAGTGACAGTAATGACAAAAAAGGAGGAATTCTGGCTATTGGTATGTTTTAAATTCCCACTACAGGATTCTTAGCATATTAAAAAAACATACAGGTATTATTACTGAAGTAAAAAGCATCAAGTTAAAGCTAATATAAAACAGTACATCATAACAGAAGTAAGGTTATGTGTATTGCTTATCATAACATAGATAGTTATTAATTCTTGCTAGGTGAAGTTCATGAAATATCTAAACATAGATATTATGAACTGACTAAAGCCATTCTAGACAATGTACAATTAACTAATACTAAGGTAAATAACATTTTAGGATCTATAAATAGGTCTATTAAGTTCAAATAGTAGGAGGTTATTGATTCGTCTAAGGAGTTGCTTAAATCTAATCTGGAATACTTTCTTCCATTTTGATCACCTTATTTAAGAAAGGATGTTAAGATTATTTAGTGAAGAGGTACCACCAGAAGGATTCTAGGTTTTTAAGGGATTATTGCGTGGGGATAGGTTGAAGTCTATTTTCATGTTTTCCCTAATAATATATATATACAAAATGCAAGGGACCATTTGGTCCCTCAAGGCTCTCCTTGCACACTTATTTCTGAGGAAAGAAAAGTAAAAACGAAAATTGTAAACATACACTACTTTTTTGGCCTTCATTGATTCCCTTCTTAAACTCCTGTAACCTGGTGGCCTCCATTTTGGAGAGAAGAGCTCAGAGATACATAATTATGTTAGATGCCAGGTATCCATATGTTCAGAGGAGATTTTCATAAAAACACTATGGGCAGTAGTATGAGAGGATGCAATTTGAAACTGAGGGAAACTTAAACATGACTCCATCTAACATGGCATATGGACAACAAGACCATCCTGCCTTTCAAAGCTCTTCTTGCACACCCACCTTTTAGAAGAAATGAAAATTAAACCCAACATTTATTTTTAAAGAAACCATAGATTTCCAATTTAAACTTTTATTATATGCTGGTCTCCACCACTATAGAGTGCAATAGATGCTAAGATTGGGTTATGCTTCAGAATTGTGGGTTTGATTACAGCTTTCAGGAGTCTAGGAAAGATAAGTGCAGTATTCATAGAGAACTTACTTACTTGATGGTAAGTTATAGATAAGTTTGGACAAAACTATTATATTAGACAAGGGAAATATCAGAAATTAAGGAATCAAAAAATGGATACATATGGGCCAGAGGTTGCAAGTTCCATGCCAGGTTACTAAATGTTCTACTACATTTGTTTTCAATGAACTCTATGTTATCTATAATACACTTTCATAAGAAATTATACATGTTTTACTACATGAAATGTAAGGACAATTATTTTTAATGTACAACAGTTTTAGGATTAAAAAAATGACTTAATTCTAAATTGCCACACTTGAAGATGTTTATCATATTAAAAATTTTTGCAAATGTCTTTAAATACCCAAACAAGCTGAAAATAGGAAAATTAGTTTATAAAAAAAATAATTTTTAATGAACTTGACAATTAATCAGGTAGTAAATTCCACTAACATCTAGCTCTGAATGTGTACCTGAATGCAATAAAATGAAAATTACACAAACAAAACCTAGCTGTGAAAATACACAGAAGAAAGAACATTTTAGATGATAATTCACAGTAGATACAAACTTAATGACTCAAATTGTCAGGTATGGCTAGTAACTGTCTGAAAATTAGCCAAGTTTCTAAATTTTCCAGTATAAACTGCACTTATGAAATACACTGACGAGACCATACTTGAAGTGTTTTGTGTAGTTTGTCCTCTTGGTACAGTAATGATATTAATATTTTGGAAAATTGTTAGAATAACTGGTTTAGGTCATCAGGGAATTGAACATTTATTACAGGATGTCTGAGTTATTGAATGAAAGTCTAAATACAGATTTCAAAATTAGGTATAGTAGGCTTAAGCTCTGAAAACCTAGTTTTAAAGTTGTTGTGTTTATCAGTACAATTATAAACTTGAATGATGTGCTGTTTTTAAGTTGTTGGGTAACGTATATGGGCTTGGAAGATATTATTTAAGTTGGATTAAAAAAAATTGTTTTATGAGTTAACATTATGGGTTGAATGACTTATAATTTTTGTTTATCTTTTGTTCTTTGCATCTAATTATATTACAGAAAACTAGAAAGTAACAATAAAAGCCACATCATTTGGCAGACCATTACACAAAATTGAAACTGTTATCAAGAAATGTTTTTTTTTTTAAAGAAACCAACATCTGAGGCCTTTCAATACATATATTCATTGTTGATGATATTCAAGCTTGCATTTTCAATCTTTTTATCCCATCATTGAGACAGGTTACTCGTATATAGATTAAACAAACTTCTAAGAATTTAAACAAAACTTAAATAAAATTGCTACAATATTAAATGTCTTCGCATGAAGAATATTTTTCCATGTTGAAAATTGTTAATTAACCCTATAGAGACTGGTGTGATAATTTTGACCAACCATGTAATTATGAAACTGTAAATATTATAGTTTAGGATGTACTAAGTGTATCTTCATTAAATTTGATAAGCTTTCAGTAAACATTACAGGTTTGTTGTAAATATAAAATAAGGTTTTTATTAAATAAGTATTCTTGCTAAACATTTATCTGTGAATGAACAAAATCTTTACTAATTATAG